ATATTTTTTTTTTCCTATTGTCTGCTACGGAACAAAAAGCATTCGATATTATTTAATGAGGAGAATTCGAAAAATTTTTGCCATTGAAATTTTGCAATAAAAAGTCTCCTGAAAATTTTACAATAGATCTGAAAAAGCAAATAAAATTATAACATCGAATATAATTTTGGGGAATTTTTTGCAAATTGGTTCTGTCCAGAACCCAAAAGTATCTGTCCTAAGCATTAAAATGTTTTTTTCTAATATTTAATTACTCAATGCCAATTCCGCCTACTAATGACTTACGGTTTCTGTTCAACAAAGAAAGCTCTAATTTAGCCAGCTTCCTAACTTATTGCCGCTAAAAATAAGCACAATTAAATTTGTTTAAAGATGAAAAATTTTTTAAAGTCACAAAATTACAAATTTTTCATTAATTTGCAAAAACCAAAAAAAATGAATCGGTCTCTATGCAAAAACTTGTAAAAAATACCGTATAGTATACTAATTAGTCTACATTCCATATAGTATACTAGTTAAATATTGAACCCACTATTATGTATGTTACTTATACGCACTTTTAAAAAAATATACATGTAAGTATATCTACATATGCATACGCATAGAACGGACCATACAAATGGGCATAATAAAAATATCAATTACTTCAATATTAAAAAAAACTTGATTGAAGGTCTCACCATATGTTATTCATATACTAAATGTCTGACCGCCTATCCAAAGTCTATAAAACTGTTAATTTTCAAAATATTTATTTTGGTCATCAAGCTTATAATTTACGTCATACATACACGTTCATACTTATATATATATATGCGTAATATATTTTAATAATTTTATTATGATTAAGAAATATATTAATAATGTTTTTCTTTTTCTGTGTAAATAAAATTAACGAAAAATTTAAAATTAAATTTATTATTTCTGTCTCATAAGAATAAAAATAATAATAAAATAATTTACCAAATTAAATAAATTCATAAAAAAAGTGAATTTATATTATTAAATTACATTTCGGATTGAAAATCTCGCTATACTTAAATATTTTATTGCCGAAAAGCTAAAAGAAGAAAATTATACCCCATCATTCTGTGCACACTTATGTATGTATGTATATTTGTCAATATAGTCTATTGATACATGTATGCTGTATAATATGATATGTACACCACATAAGGTAGAGACACCAGTATCCGAATCACTTTAATGTTCGAACTTACGAGGTAATGACCTTTTAAAAACACACTTAAAAAAATTGTTTATATTGCACTGTTCCACAACATTTGTGTTCCATAATATTTGTAAAATTAAAAATACGTCAGATTATTGTTGTTAACGTCATAGATCAATTTGTGTTAGCAGTTTACATAAACTATTATTTGCTGCATTTTGCTTTGTACTAAAATTATAGTACATAATACGAATATCGGGCCGGGCATATTTCACTCCAAAAAAAATTTACATGCCCCTTAGAACCACAGGAGCGGAAACTGAACATACTTGGTTGTGCAGATTTGAAGCTATTAGTGGTTTACTCACTTGACTCTTGATTGTTCATCTAAAAAAGATGGGTAAGGCAAGTTTTGATGGAGCACTTATTGTATGAATGAGAGACGATTACTTGTCTAGGACTGAGATGCTTCGGAAGATGCTTTGTGACCACGATAAAAGTTCCGCAGCTTGAGGTAACTGCTACACCTCAATTTTCTAGGGATCTAATTGTCAGTTCAATTTGCCAGTTATAATGCTAATGTAGATGCGAATGGGAATCACCAAAGATCCTATGGGTCAACGTAGAAAGGGTCCATTTTCAAATTATAAAAATTAAAGCGTTTGGTAACAAAATTTTAGTATGCGTTTGACATCGCAAATCGTTTTGTCTTAAACAATATATTTTTCGGCCTATACAAAATTCGAAAACAAAAATGAAGTTAAAATTATAGAAATCTTGTAAATTGCTAGGTAAATAACGTTACTACCTTATGTACATACATTTTTTTTTAATATTATTTTTTTTTATAATTCTTATAATATGATCACGGAAGGTAATTCCCACAATCGTTGTATACAATATCATAAAAGTATAAATATATTATATAGAGATTATATTAAAATAATAGGTATATAGAATGAGACACAATAAATACACTCAGTATATACCAGTGCATACTTATAATATAAACATGCGTATATTTGCATACATGTGTAGTGTGCTTTAGAATTAAATTGGATATGTCTCTTTTAATTCTTAAAATAAAAGAATAATATTTAAATGTGCAGAGTGCATAAACCTCATTATTCTTAATATTAAAATTTTATTTAAAATTTACATATACACATACGTCAGTATGTAGATGACTAAATATAAATAATGTGTGGAATTGTACGCAAAATTATATTATAGAATCCGGAATCACTTATAAATTTATAAACCAAGTATGACTGCACAATCAACATTAATTTGTGACTTCAGAACATAATCAACCAACCTATGTATACTCGTAATAAAAGTTCTTTTAATAAGAATAAATTTTATAGTAATAATGATGAAAAAAAATATGGTGCAATCGCGCACAATATTTTCCGTTATTTCTTTCAATTTACAATTTAAATTGTGTTCTGCATACAATTGTTGTTTTTTTGTACTTATTACGTTCTACAATTTTATGATTAGACCCTTTTTTATAGGGCTCAAAATATTGATGTGGGAAATTTACTAAAATAATATTTATTGTTCTAGATTTTTAGTTGAAGTATAGACATTATTCACACATTTACATATACATACATACAAACACACATTTGCAACAATAGAAAATTTTTGTAACAATTTTTTTTTTTATACACTTTAAATATTCACGCATATTATAAAACAAGGAAGAGGTGCGATACTTAAAAAAAAATAAATTTGTAACACCACTTGACGCATTTAATGAAGGCATATTAAATTTAGTCAAATACTTAGAACAATCATAAAATATTTTAAAAAGCCAAAAGAAAAGAAAATATTGAAAATTTTACCTGATCTTTTTAAAAATATTTACTTTTTTAATTGGTGAAAATACTTACATATTTTGGTATCCTTATTCAAAAAGAATTTTTTTGGAATAAAAAATTATTACTGAAATGTTCAGTAACAAAAGGTTAAGCATTTTTACAGGTTTTTAAATTTTATTTAAAATTTTCCGGTTATTGAAAATACTTAATTTTTTACAATTCCACATTACTAACTCTATACACTATAAAGAGGCTGCTATTTTAAACCTCACTTGCTTAAAAAGATCAACATAATAATTTAAAAATTATGATACTGGTATTAATTAATAAAATTATTAATTTATAGTGAGGCATTATTGGGAAACAATAAAGAAGTTAACATTCAAAAAAACTTCAAAAGAAACCGACAAATGTGAGTTTAAATAAAATCTAATATTGTCGAATTTATTCTTCGTATTGTAATGCAAAATACATATTAGACACATTCCAATTATTATTAAAATCTTACTAATTTTTAAATTAATTGCACAGTAGACGATAAATAGACCAAAAATAGATTTGCTCCCATGGTGTAAAAATAAAATAGCTTGCAAATACTGCAAAAGTAGTCTTATTATTAAAATATAAATATATTCCATCTAACCGATTGTAATCTTAAAAAAAGATTAACAAGAAATTGATTATTTAAATAAAAAGACATACTGCAATAATACAAGTAGAGATTAAAGTATGTCAACTGTAGAGTAAGTCACATTTCTAATCAAAACATTTAAATAGTCTTCATTTTTAAAGGAAATTTATATAATAATTTTCTTTTAAAGATATTTAATTTTTAAATAGTCTTTACAATTAAAATTAAAAAAAAAATGAGAGCAAATTTTTCTATTATTTGTTTTAATTAAAACTGTATTTGATTTTAATTACAAAATTGTCAAATTCTACGTAATTTCTCTTGATATCTTCTCTGGAATGGGAATCACAAAAAATTCTATGGGTCAATGATGGAAGGGTCTAACAACCTCAGTCCGCCGACTAATACTTCATGAAAATTTCCATTTTCGAATACTAGAAATATGTGGCGAGAAAATTTTGGTGTTCGGTTGGCACGCAAATCATACTTTTTTAAACAATATTGTCAAATTCTACGTAATTTCTTTTGATAATTATGTGCATGCCAATAATTTTGTATTTTGTTTTTAGGGTTCGCATTTTAGGGTAAGATAATGTAAATTATTATTTTAAGTTAAACTTTAAAAAGTTATTAAAAAAAGAAAGTATTATAAAGGGAAAAGAAAGTATTCTGATGAATTTAAATCGAAAAAAATATTTTCATATACAAATACTTAAAACCTAAAATTTTAATACTTCATTAAAATATTTAATTTTTTAAATAATAATTTAAAATTTCATTATTTTGAAAAATTTTGTCCCACTCTAAATTCTCTCACTTTTATTACAATAAACTCTCCTCGATCATCATAATTCAATCAACAATAAATTGTAATTACAAACATGCATTTTTCTTATAAACATTTTATATGTATCAACATACAAATCACTAATTTATCAACATTATTACTTCGATACATTTTTATGTTGCAAGTAAACAACATGATCGTTTATTCGCTGTAAGCACTTCGCACTAGTATTGTACAATTTTATAAGAATTGTTGCTGATTTGGTATCATACAGAGCAATATTTTTCAGCAACATTTTTAGCAATATAATAATGTACAACATAAAATACAATAATACATAATTAATTGTTTGTTTACTTGCATTATTTGCATAATACATAATTTATTTAGTAACATGTTGCTAGAAACATTTAGATATCATAGCAACAATAATATAACTTTAAAACAACAAAACTTTAATGCGATCGACATTAGTTTTACCTACACAATCAAAATATAAATAAAATAAAAAAAAAAACGGAAAAAAAAAACATTGAAAGTAAAATTGAAACAAGTCATATTTCAGTCAGTCTAGCATTACTGACGGTATAAAACAGTTGTTTATTGTAAAAAGGCGCGCTACATCGCTTCTACTATAATACGCATATGTAATTATTTTGGCGGCTCATTAATACAAAACAATAACAAAAAATAATATTTTGTGTTGCATATTTATTATTGATAACAATTTTTTTGCTTCATTTTCCGCTCATTTATTGTACGCGATTCATTAAGTAATTTTTGCGAAATAAAAATTTTAAATAAGAGTTTTGAATATTTTAGTAAAAAAAATAAATCGTGGGGGCTAATTTTATTTTTATTTCGGAATTAGTCTTTAAATTATCATAATTTTTTTTTTATTTTGTAAATATTTAAATTTTTGTTATCTACATAATTTATTAAATTCTTAAAAAGAATTTTAATTTTAAATCTCTTAGAAAAAATATTTTATTTGAATTTTTTTTTATTTTATAAATTATTTGCAATTAAATTTAGGTCAATTTTAGTTTTTGTTAAATTAAATATTTTGCAAACTTTTTATTTTGATGAAGGTCTTTTTTCTTTAAATTTAATTTAAATCAAATTTATATAAAATAAAAAACTATTCTTATTTTTGTTTTTCTATTTAAATTTATTTTCAATTTTTATTATTATTTTGTTTCCTCTATAAATATTTTTCTTTTATGCTTTATTGAATATTTTTCGTTTTCATCGATAATATGATCAAAAACAAAAACTATAAGTATATCAGTAGTAAAGGTAAAGAAAATATGACAAAAATTAAGAAATTTTTAAAGTATAATATTGAAATGGAGTAAAACATAACGCGAAAAAAAACAAACAAACAAAAACAAAATTATAATTAATTAAAAAAAAAAAATTAAAATATTATTTTTATGCAATAAATCAAGGTGAATTTACCTTGTAAAATCAATATTAAAAAAAAAACTAAACGAAAAAGGTTTAATTAAAAAATAGTAAAAAAAAATAAAATAAAATCATAAAACGGTTGGAATTAAATGTAACATGAATTTGTAAAAATCAAAAACAAAAAAAAATTTGTAATTATAACACCATCTATTAACAAAAATTAAAATTACATTATTTAAACCGTAATAAACATTATTTAATGGGGAATTCAATAAAAACAAAAAAAAAAATTTATGCAATTCTAAATTTATTTAATTTTTCCGATTTTATTTTTTATTTATTTTTTTGCTAAATAATCACAATTTTGCCCATTTTTTTTAGTCTTTCAATAAAATTTATAGCTAAATCAAAAAATAAAAAAAAAAAGATGTGTAAAAATATAGAATAATGAAATAATAAGTGATTTAATATTAATTTTAATTATATAAAAAAATATTATTGTGAAAATTCATTTAAAAAAATTTTTTTTCTTAGTAGAAAATTATAAAAAACAGAAGCAAAAATGATTGTAGCATGTGGTGATTAAGAGCTTTTCTACAATATTTTTGTGCTACTACTTTTTTTTTCTTTTCTTCGACCATATTTTTTTTATTTAATTCATTTGAATTAATTATATACAGAAAGAGAAGAAAAAAATTATCAAAATCTTAATCTAATTATTTAATTTATTAAGATTTATATGAAAAAATAATATTTTGTATATTATTTTTGAAAAAAAAATAAAGTAAGTATAAAAAAATTTTTTAATATTACATAATATAAACATATGCATACATACAGGGTTATTCGCTTAAAGTTGTAAATAATTTCTGGGATGATCCTGTGATCAATTTCCAGCAAGAACTCGTATGGGTGGGGGGAGAAGTTCAGATATACTAATTTTCGCGCTACAGTCTGTTGAAAAAAATCGGTCGCAAATTTTTTCTTCCTTTATATAAATAAATACTAATAAGTAATTTATGTCAAACATAATTTATGCATATATAAATTGTGTAAAAATAAGGTGTCAGATATAAAGTAGTCAAATTTACAGATCGTCGTTTCCGAATAATGTAATTCTATAAAACTATTACGAAAAAATATAAATGCATACAAAAACATTCAAATCCTGGCATTCCTATTGACCAAACAAATGTTGTAACAATAACTTTGCTTGTCGTTTACTTCTGTTAGTGAAAAACAAGTGGTCTAATAAGTAGTAAGTTAAAAATATTTTAAAAACAATTTCAAGTTCATTCAACATTTTTAATTTTAAAATTTTGTAAAAATTTTGTAAACTGTGTTTGAGTCGGAAATGTGATCCAACTTTAATTTCTTTCCTAATTTTTAAAATTGTGTAATAAGTGAATTTATTTCAAAATGCCGTTTTTGATGTTGGACTACTTTAGTGTTGAGCATCTCAAATGTGTATTTTGACCAATTTTATTGAATTCAAAATTTTTCATTTTCAATTTAAAACAAAACAGAAGTATATAAGTAATAATAGTTTCTAAATAAGTTGTCAATGATTGATAATGTGGTCAAAACAAAAAAAGTTAATTAAAAACTCAAACTACATTTCACTTTTAAAAACAAATAAATAAGAGTTTTAAACTATATGTAAGTATAATTTTGTTATCAGCGGCTTTAAATTCCTATACTTTCGTTATAGGAAGTTAATAATATAATACAGACATAGCCTTACAATTAAAAACAATGTTTTCAAAAAAGTTATATGCGATATACTTAGCTACATATATATAAATTGTTATCAATTGTGTTAAGCGTCATCATTTTTTAGGCGCGTACATGACCTATCTAATAGTAATCAACTCATTTTTACATTTTATAATTTTCATTATATGAATATGAATATAAAAATTGTAATGGAATTCAAGTTGTTAGATTTCTTTCAAAAAAGGCCTGCTGCAGCAAACATTTTCGGAAACTAGTTCATGAATACGAACTATTTGATCGATATTCCAATTGCTTACATGAAACTCTTCTTTATAAATTGATAGTGATAGATAGAATTGAATTGATGTACTTTTTTATTGTACATATTTTCCATATAATTCTTCCTACTTCTTTAAAAAAAATCAATTATGTATAACTATTACTCCCTTTATAAATTGACTTCAAAACTCCTATACACTCAATACATATTCCTTTTGACTGACTTAATTTTCCGCTTTTTCACACGTGATTTTAGAATAATAACATTCTTAATAAATTCATTTATATTCGATCAGTTAACGAGAAGGTTGGTAGGTACTTACTGTATAATACTTTTTAATATAATATTTCAACAATATTTTTTATTCTTTAAAACACGCACGTATAATCTGAAAAAGTAAAGAAATAACAATGACAATAATGAAAATGAATAAATTATTTTGAATGTGTGAAAAATTATATTAAACATGTCAATCATTTATAGCTCAATTATTTCAAAAAAAAAGAAATAAATCTTGATAATAAATAATATTCTAGATTATATAAAAATAAATACTTATAAGTATGTGACAGCATAAATTATAAGTAATAGACAGCATAAATATCAAAAACAAGAATATTTATGCACTTATGGTAGTGCTAAACAGATTTGCATCTTAAAAAAATTATAAAAAGACGGAAGTGTGTCTCGTTAAAAAAGAATACATGTAAAAAAAGGAATTTTTTTAAATTGGTTTAAAGAAATAGATTAATGACATTAAGGAGATTATTCTGATCCTAGATTCACCCACTTTGTAATTTTTTTGCTGAATTATAAAAATATAATTAAATGATATCATATTCCATATCTGTCTTCACAGCCTTTGTAAAAAAATATTATTAGTTTTCTAGTATCAATAACTCTTTACATTACTGTGACAGAAATATCTTCATAAAGCGGAGGTTCCCATCCTCCTTGCGTTTGTACAATTCAGACAGTGCCCAGGTATAATCCCTATCACAGCTCCGATGGCATCCTGTGGAGGAGACATCAAATCCGCCGTGCAACGCTGTTGTAGCTTAGTCCAAGGTCCTTCGCAAATGCCAAGGTCCTTCGCAAATGCAGAAGATACATAGTAAATCCTCTCCGCCACATTTCCACCAGTTTTCAGTATGGCCACGTGCCTCACTATTTCCAGACGCACAGTCGATTCCACCGCAGTCTGCCTTCCAAGAATCATAGTTTAAAATATTGAAATTATATTTATAACCGGTATCACATCAAAGTTAAGTGATTGCGGCAATGACACTCGTGTGACTTCTTATAGAGAACGCAATGCCCAATGCTTTCACAGCAATGGGCATAATATTTTAAACCGTTAGCAATAAATAATATAATAAAGTTGACAATACAATTGTTAAAAATATTTCTAATAAAATTAAAATAATATTTTCTATGATTTCTACAAAACATATAAATTATTAACAAGCCTTAATCTGGTGACATTCTCTTATATTTAACAAATGTCTAGCTATGACAAGCCCTCTGGTAAATTTATTATAAATTAATTTTGTTTGTTTAAAATTTCTTTTATTCAAATCAATTAATTTATTCTTTTAACTAACATAAAATAAGTTTTTTTGCTACAATACGTGATATAACAAATAAAAAAAAATAGTTATAGGCATTTTTTGGTAAATTCCTATATACATATTCTCTTATTTACCTAAAAAAACTGGGTCAGGTTCAAGTTAAATAAATTAAAATAAAAAAACTGAAAATAAAAGAAAAAAAATTAATATTATTATAAATTTTCGAAATTAATTTATATTTATATTGAATATAAAATAAACATGTGTATCATTGACCTCGCTCATATAATGTTATATAAGAACTATAGAAATACATAATTTTATGTGAATATTTAAATTCAAAATTATGTGACGTAGTTATCGCTATAATATATAGTAACTTTTATGGAATTATTTTATTGCAAAATTTTAAAATTTAACAGGTTTTTTATTCAATTACAAAAATTAATTAATTAAAGCACACGATAATAGTTTCAATATGTATTACGAATATATAACGTATTATCTGCATACATACTTGTGAATGTATGTATTGAACATATTATTGCATTTATTATTGTACATTAAATGTACTTATATATTTTACAAATTATATTCTTAAAATTTGTGACTGTGTATTAAATCTTGAATATTAAAGATCAGGAAAATTACTGCTTTTCTTACAATTTTTGATATCAACAACTAAAAGTATAACAGAATTTTTTATTTATAAGTACACTTAATCAAATTATAATCATCTCTTTAGGAATACGAGTATTATTAATGTTTGTCTCATTACCAATTAGATTTAGAGAAACCACATAAATAGAAACCTACACATAAATCTAAAGGAACAAAACTAAAAAAAAACTATTTATTCAAGTGTTATACCATTTATTTTAAAAATAGACAAAATTATTTCTGATTTTGAATATTTTATAAAATTTTTGAAATTTCAATATTTTAAATTTTGCAATTTATTTTAATTATGAAAATAATATTTTTGAATCATTAAAAAAAGCAATAAACAATAAGTAAGTAATAGAATTATAATTACCAAATATACTAAATAAGAACACTAATTAAAAATTTCTCAAAAGATCTAATAAAAAAATTGAAATTTTAATAAAATATAGTTGGATCAAAGTAATTGCTTGCAAAAAAGCACTTTTTACCTTAAAATATATCGACTAATTGCATTCATTTAGCATTAGCAAAAGAAGAAATTTGAAAGAAGTGTGATTTATATGGACAGTTTATGATCACTATATGGCATTGATATAGTGATTGAATTAGACGGTTAAGTTGGTAAGTTAAGAAAAGTAATTATACTTTTCAATAGTATAGAATTTTACGAATATTTCGAAAGGCTTGTAATTTTAGAAACACCGAAAATTCGAATTTTTACAACTTGTCCTCTAGAAGAAAGTAATTTGAAAAATCGAGATGAAAATTTTGGAAAAAAACATGATTTAGGAAACGGCTAATTTCAATTATCTAAATTTTTTTTGATCATGTATGTAATGAAAATATACTTAAAAAAGCTAAATTTCCAAAGAACCCAAGCATCTTATATAAAAACTTAATTAATTATTTTAAAACCTCAATGTATTAAAAAGTCTACAACCTTCAAAATAGATACCATCGCATAATCATTTAGCATATTTTAAATTGATTAGAATAAAATTAAAAATGGAAAAAAAAATATGCACATATACAATTAGTATTATATTTCATTTGATGATCTAATTATCAAAAATCGCAATAGTAATTAAAAAAATCTCAAAACTGTTTGAATTTATAATTTATTATTAAAAATTTTTTGATTTCCTTATCTTTAACGAATTTTCCTAATTTATAAAATGTAGTAATTTTTAAAGTTCATGTCCTTGTAGCGGTTATCGTTCAATAACTAACAATACTGGTTTTCATTTCGTTGCCCTTGCTATTACTTTTCAATAAAACCAGATCAAGCTTTGAACATTTTAAAATTATTGCGTTTTAAATGTGCCAAAATGTGTAAATAAATGCTATTATTACTATTATGTATGTATGTATATATACATATATTTATAATAATAAATAATTTATATTATACAAACGGAAAATTGAAGGTCCATTTAATTTATGATAAAAATATAAATATTTTTTAAATAATGTTGTCAGCTATACTGAAATGTAAAAATTATTATAAAAGAATCGTTAATTAACTTGTAGAATACGTATGTGAAGAACGAG